TAATGTGTTCCCTTTCAGTTTCAGTCTTGGAGGGGGGTTTATCCTGATGCGACTTGATTGCTTGCCTTGATGGCTCCCCAGCATACAATTTGCTTGTTCTTTTAGTAGCTAATCAGATTGCCATTTTTTGTTTTGGATTTTTCCTGCTGGTCTTTCTTTCAAGAAGTATCATCTGTTCCTCTAGTTGTTCCATGCTGGTCTGCTTGTCCTTTCAAGTAGTAATGTCCCACATCAGAAGGTTCTGGATAGGGCTCAGTATTCCATCTAAGGTCCTATATACTGCAAAGGCTCCACAGGAAGCCTATTTCACTGGGCCTATTTCACTAGAACCCCTTTTAGGTATTCCAATGAGTTACAGGCCAAAGACAGGCTTACAAGTTTTCTGTAATCATGTTTTCTAATATTCCTTTCTACCCCACTCAAATGTCTATTTTATAATAGTATGCAAGGGAAACAAATATTCATAAGATAAAGCATCTTAACATTATTTCCCCTCATTTACCCCTTCAGACTATGCCTCAATCCCTGTATCACAGAGTCCTGTTAACCAAGGTTGAATATATGTCATTATTTACTTCTGTCCCATTTAGCCCATAAATGCATCAATCCTTATATATTTGTGGTGCTGTGTGATAAAGCACTGAACTGCAAGGTCGATTTGAACCACAAGCTCAGTGTTTCAAATTCACCAGCTGCTCCTTAGAAACCCTGTATAGGGTCTCTACGAGTTGGAACTAACTCAACAGCACTTAACAAACACAGCAATTCTTATGATGGTTTCATTATTCACTGTCCAGCATTCATACGCATATAGTGTGATTGACTGTAAATGAGCACCAATATATGACCTTGAGTAAATCCCACCTGAATATAGAGACCATCTCAAGAATAGACTTAATGTACTAGACACAAATGATTGAAAATCAGAAGAGTTGTGGGATAGCATTGAAAGCATCATACATGAATGAAATAAAAGGTCACCAGAAAGACAGGAAAGAGAGAAAATACCAAAAAGAATGTCAGAATTGACTCCATAACTTGCTCTTGAACTTAAAGGAGCTAAAGTAATTGGATAAAATGGATGAAGTAAAATAGCTGGAAAAAGAATTGCAAAGGACAGCTCAAGATAACAAAGACAAATATTATAATTAAATCTACAATGACCAGATATTAGTCCACCAAAGGAAGAACACACTCAGCATTTCTCAGACTGAAAGAACAAAAGAACATATTCAAGCTTAGGGTTGTAATAATGAAGAATTCAACTAACAAAATATTGAAAGAGGTTGGAAACTTCAAAAGAAGATGGAAGAAATATATAGTCACTGTACCAAAAATTAGTCTATAGTCAATCATTTTAAGAGTTAGCATTTGATTGTTGTTGTTGTTAGGTGCTGTCAAGTCAATACAGACTCATAGCGACCGTATGCACAGCAGAACGAAACACTGCCCAATCCTGGGCCACCCTCACTATTGATGCTGCCACTTGACCAATCCATCTCGCTGGGGGTCTTCCTCTTTTTCTCTGGCCCTCCACCCTACCAAACATGATATCCTTCTCCAGTGAATTCTCCCTTCTGACAATATGTCTGAAGTATGAGAAACGAAGTTTGGCCTCCTGGCCTCCATAGAGCATTCTGGCTGCACTTCTTCCCAAACAGATCTGTTGGTTCTTTTCGCAGACCATGGGACTTTCAATATTCTCCTCCAACACCATAACTCAGAAGCATCAATTCTTCTATGGTCTTCTTTATTCACTGTTCAGCTTTTGCACACATATGATGCTACTGAAAATACCATGGCTTGGGTCAGGTGCACCTTAGTCCTCAAGCTGACATCTTTGCTTTTCAACACTTTAAAAAGTTCTTGTGCAGCAGACTTGCCTAATGCAATACGTCGTCTGATTTCTTGACTGCTGTTTCCATGAGTGTTGATAGTTGATCCAAGAAGAATGTAGTCTTTAACAACTTCAATCTTTTCTCTGTTTATAGGAATGTTGCTTAGTGGTCCAGTTGTGAGAATTTTTGTTTTCTTTACATTGAGATGCAATCCATACCAAAGGCGGTGCTCTTTGATCTTCATTGATTAAGAGGCAATAATATTCAGGGAAGAAGTTCTAACTGCATTGAAGGCATTGGTGAAAACCAAGACTCTAAGACTTGAGGAAATACAAATAGAAATGTTTCAACAAACTGATACAGAACTGGAGATGCTCTCTTTTCTGTGCCAAGACACTTGGAAGACAGCTACATAGTAAACTGATTGGAAAAGATCCATATTTGTGCCCGTTTCAAAGAAATACGACTCAATGGAATGCAGAAATCATTGAACAGTATCATTAACACCACAGGCTAGAGATCATTCAAAAAATGGTTGCAGCTGTACGTCACCCTGGATCTGCCAGAAATCCAAGCCATATTCACAAGAGGAAATGGAATGAGAAAGATGTTTACTTGTGCTTTATTGACTGTTCAAAGGAATACAACTGTATGGATTACAACAAACTGAATAACACTGAAGAGAATGGGAATTTCAACGCACTTATTTTGTTCAACAGTAACTTGTACATAGGCCAACAGATAGTCATTCAAACAGAACAAAGCGGTATTGAATGGTTGAAATTTAGGAAAGTTATGTGCCAGGATTGTATCATTTCATTATATACATTCAATCTCTATGCTGAGCAAATATATGAGAAGCTGGATTATATGAAGAATAATGGGAAATCATAATTGAAGTTAGCTCATTAACAATCTGTGATAAAGATGACACAACCTTACTTGTTGAAAGTGAAGAATATTGAAAGTACCATGGACTTCCAGAAGAACACACAAATCTTTCTTAGAGGTGAAGCCAGAGTGCCACATGAAATGAGAATGCAGATATTTCATTTCTCATATATTAGGCATGTTATCAGAAAGGATGAGGCCCTGAAAAGGGTCACCATATTTGCCAAAGTAGAGAGTCAGTGACAGATTGGATAAACAGCAAGGATACAGTGGCAGAAACAGTGGCTGAAGCATGGCGACAATTGCGAGGGTGGCATAGGAACAGGACAGCGTTTCATTTTATGCACGGGGTCACTATGAGTTGGAACTAACTTGAAGACAGGGTCCAAAAAAAAAAAAAAACAATAGCATTCATCAAAATCAATGATAATCTCCATTTATCTTTTTCTCAGAGAGGACTTCCCTGATTATTTCACATATAAATACAACTCCAACACTCCCTGTCCTTAGTGACTGCCTTTTTTTCAGACCACATACATATATATACACTTTGCTCAACTCCCCTGTTAGAATAGACCTCCTACAAGGTAAGAATTTGTATCTATCTTGTTCATGGATAAAGGAGCTCTGGTAACATAGTAGATTACAAATTGGGCTGCTAACCCCAAGATTGGTAGTTCAAATCTACCAGTTGTTCCATGGGAGAAAGATGAGCCTTCCTGCTCCTATAAAGATTTGCAGCCTTGAAAACACCATACAGGGTTGCTGTGAGTGACTCTGTGGCACACAACCACCACCAGCAACTTTTGAAATGAAAGGCTACAAAACACAGAAAGTTGACATACACATCCCACAAGCAGAAAGCTGATATACATACATTTTAAACAGCCATTAGACATGAAATTAGGTCTTGCCTTCTAATGAGTGGCTCTTCTATATTACAGGTTACTATGGCTTCCAGATCAATCATGACTACTCCTATTTGTTTGGTGGAAAACCAGAATGATGAGCTGACTGTGAATTCAAAAGCATTAAAGATTCTTGATGAGATTTTTCAGCCCGTGGTGGTGGTGGCCATTGTAGGACTATACCGTACAGGAAAATCCTACCTGATGAACCGTCTGGCAGGACAGAACCACGGTGAGTATTACCCTTGGGGAGGGACAATTAATATGGAAACATGAATAACGCAGACTGATCATGCCTCCTCTAAAATCATATTAAGGAAGAGATGATTTTTTTTTTCCCAATGAAAAAGAAAAAAAAAAATTCTAATTTTCATCATCAAATTTATGTCCACAATATCTGTAATAAATACAAGCTCTTTTTTCTAGTAATACAGAATTCTGTCTACCCTACCCAAACACCCACTCCACCAGACCTCAGGATCCCTCCACTCTCACCTGCTTGGGAGCTCAGCTCTGGCAATGCTTTGCTTATCTCCTACATCATTTCTGTTCATGCAAGAGGACCCGGTCTGCTCCCTTTCATCTCCTTTCCACTTTTTGTTTCCCAAGCTCTCTATTGACTTCTAAGCAAACATGTTCTCTTTATTTTTTTATTTTAGGGGGATTTTGACTATTTATAAGCAATAGAGGACACTTTTATTTGCCTGAACCAAACAGATTCATAAGGACTTGCTCTTTTTTCCAGTATCTTAAGAAACAACTATTAACAAAAATCCTTCCTTTCTTTACAAAAAATAACATCAAGTAACACCTAGGTGATTTCCTAGCACTCTGCCGAGGAAGTCCCTGGCCTCAAGATGTTTCAAATATCTGAACTGTGACTCTGCCACTCCTCCCAGTGGTCCATTATCTGGACAAACTAACTATTTCTGTCTTCTTGGCAGTGAATTACCTTGTGTGTATGTGGTGTGTTTTTTTAATATGCATTTCTGATGATATAGAATGATAACCTTCGATTGCACATTGTCCTTTCTCATTTGGGCACTGGAATTGAGTTACTCTATTTAAATTAGTAAACATTGAAAATTATCATTCTAAAGAAGGTGATAAAGAATCTGTAGTATCAAAGAGATTAAGCAGCCATCAGCTAATCCAAACTCACCAGCCCATCCATGGGAGAAATAAGTGATACTCTGCTTTCATAAAGATTTATGGCTTTGTAAGTCATCTGGGGGAAGTTCTACTTAGTCTTATAAGGTGCTATAATAGTTAGAATCACTCCAGTGCAATTGGCAATGGATTTATAACAATGCTGAATAATCCATGCTTTCATGCCCGGTCTTGGGAGTGAACACAAGATGTTGCTGTGTAATTGCCTAACTCATGCTAAATCATGCTTCCCTACGTATTTCATCATTGTCATTTCTAGTCTTAGTTGAAGAAAGCATACCCTCTGGCAGATGGTCAAAATCTTGGACTCTTTAACAGGGTATATTATCCATAGGTTCCTGAGTCCTGTGTGGCACAGTAGGATAAATACTGTACTACTTATAAGCAGTTCCTTAGGAGAAAGATGAGTTGTTCTGCTTCCGTAAAGATTTACAGCCTTGGAAACCTTGTGCAGGGTCACTATGAGTCGGAACCAACTCCACGGTACTTAACAACAACAATAATTTATCACAAGATTCAAACCCACCAGCCACTGCTTGAAAACTCTGTACAGTGTCGCTGTGCTGTGAGTCAGAACGGAATCAAAGATGCTCAGCAACAACATGGGTTTAAGCCCTTGGAAAGAAAATCCAGCAAATCTCATAGGTCTTTGCGTTCCGTTGTTATGTTATGTTACGTTACATTACGCTATGCGACGCTAGCTATATTATAGTATGTTACGTTTTGTCAAGTGCTGTTGAGGCAGTTCCAACTCAAAGGTGACCCTATTTGGGGTTTTAAGGAGTGACCTGTGGGTCTGAACCATGGAACATTCAGTAAATAGAAATATTCTTTTCCTACAGTGCTACACCAGAACATTATATACACTCTTAAAAGAATGCACGTAAAACGTATCATTTTCTTGAAGAGGAGAAAGGAAAATATAGAGAGGCTGGTGAGAAGCGAATCCAACAAATGATGCATTCAATGGGTAGCCAAGAGTATTTAGGGAAAAGACCATTTAAAAGGACATAGAAATATCAATGCATCACTCCTCTGTCAGTTTATCATTCTGTGGTGGCTTGCATGTTATTGTAATGCTGTAAGCTATTCCAACATTATTTAAAATGCCAACAGGATCAAACAGTAGTGGACAGGTTTCACCAGAGCTTCCAGACTAAGACATACCAGGAAAAAAGAGAAGCATAATACTTCGGAATGTTTTGTTTTTGTTGCCGGCTGTCATCGACACTGTAGCGAGCCCATGCAAAACAATGTCCGGTCCTGGGTCAATCTCACAGTCATTGCTACACTTGAACCCATTGCTGAAGCCACTGTGCCAATCCATCTCATTGAGGATATTCCTTGTTTTCTCCAATCCTCATGATATACTTCTCCAGTGACTGGTCCTGCCTGACAATATGTCCAAAATACGAGGCAAAGTCTGACCATCCTCACATTCAAGGAGTGCTCTGACTGTACTTTTTCCAACACAGATCTCATTGTTCTTTTGGCAGTCAATGGTACTTTCAATATTCTCCTACAACACCATAACTCAAATACATCAATTCGACAGTCTTCTTTATTCACTGTCTATCTTTTGCATGCATATGAGGTGATTGAAAATGCCATGAGTTGAGTCAAGTACACCTTAGTCCTCAAACTGACATCTTTGCTCTTCAACACTTTAAAGAGGTCTTGTGCAGCAGATTTGCCTAATACAATATGTCGTTTGACTTGTTCACTGCTGTTTCCATGAGTGTTGATGGTTGATCTGAGCAAAACGAAGTTTCTGACAACTTCAATCTTTTCTCCATTTAAATGGATGATGTTTATTGGTCCAGTGGTGAGGACTTTTGTTTTCTTTAACTGAGATGCAAAGATGTCTTTGATCTTCATCAGTAAGTATTTAAGTCTGCTTCACTTTCAGCCAGACAGCTTATATCATCTGCATATTGCAGATTGTTAATGAGTCTTCTTCTACTCCTGATGCCATATTTTTCTTCATATAACCCAACTTCTCAGATTATTTGCTCAGAATCTAGATTGAATAAGTATGGTGTAAGAATACAACTCTGGCACACACCTTTCCTAACTTAAAACCATTCAGTGTTCCCTTGTTCTGTTCAAATAATTGCCTCTTAGTCTATGTACAGGTTCCTCATGAGCACAATAAAGTGTTCTGGACTAATCATTCTTCCCAATGTTTATTGTCATGATCCACACAATCGAAAGCCTTTGTGTATTCAACAAAATGTAGATAAACTCTTTCTTGTATTCTCTGCTTTTAGCCAAGTTCCATCTAACATTCAGTAATGAATCCTACATGAACTTCTGTAATGTACAGGTGCAGACATTTTTTAAGTACCTTTAGCAAACTTTTGCTTGTATGGGATATTAATGATATTGTATGATGATTTCCACATTCAGTTGGGTCATCTCTCTTTGGAATAGGCACAGATATGGATCTCTTCCAGTCATTTAGCCAGGTAGGTGTCTCCCAAATTTCTTGAGTGAGTGTCTCCAGTACTTTGCAAGTTTGTTGAAATATTTCAATTTGTATTCCATCAGTTCCTGAAGGTTTGTTCTTTGCTAATGCTTTCAATGCACCTTGGACTTCTTCATCCAGTAGCATTGACTCTTGATCATATACTACCTCCTGAAATGGTTGAACATCTACCATTCCCTTTGGTACAGTGACTCAGTGTATTTCTTCCATCGTCTTCTGATGTTTTCTGCATCATTTAATATTTTGCCCATTGTTGTTGCTGTTCTTAAGTGCCATCAAATCAGTTCCGACCCATAGCATCCCTGTTTAGGGTTTCCTAGGAGCAGCTGGTGAACTTGAATCTCCAACCTTGTGGTTCAAACCAACCTTGCAGTCAGGA